GAGGAGAGGACGAGGAGAGGAGAGGAGAGGAGAGGAGAGGAGAGGAGAGGAGAGGAGAGGAGGGGAGAGGAGAGGAGGGCGAGAGAGTCTACCGCAGGTCTCATGGTCGGCACAACCTGAGCCGAGGGCAAGACTCGATCGAGATGCGGAAGATCAGCAGGTTGACCAGGCAGACAAGGCTGCTGAGAATTCGTCTGCTCTTGGATCCAGTCGAGCTCCAGCTGAAGGAGAGCAGCGGATTCGAAGTCATTGATGTCAATCTCCTCCTCAAGCAGCAGCTGCAGTTCTCTCCCCTTGGCGTGCAGCATCTGCATCCTATGCTCCTGCGAGCGGGCCTCGACCCCCATGGACGTCTGGGCGAGCTGCTGGCTGATCCTCCGCTGCTCCTCCAGCTTCCCGTTGAGCTGCTCCAGCTGGCTGATGTGGTCGTTCAAGGCCTCGGCCTCGGTCTCTCGCGTGATGCTGAGAGCCTTGATCTGCGAGTTGATGTGCGAGGCATCTTTGAAGGCTCGCTTGTCAACCGCCACCTGCTTCTTGACCTGCAGCTCTGACACCTGCCCGTCCATCTTCGCGACTGTCTGACGCATCCGTGAGATGCTTTGCTGCAAGTTCAGAGCCTCTTCGGACATCTCGTAGATCGTCTTCTCACAATCTTCTATCCGTTGAGCGATCGACTCATGCTCGTCCGCGTGACCTCTGGCCGGGGCCGGGCTGTCGCCCTCATCACATATCAGCTTCTTCCTCCTCAGCGACAGCTCATGCTTTCGGTTCAACGCCGTTACAATCGTCTCGAGCTCCTCGTTGGCGATCGATATCACGCTCGAGAGCTTGTCCATGGTCTTGCAGCTCTCCTCCTCCGCCATCTGCAGCAGCTCTCTTTCTCTCTCCAGCACCTGACGATTCGAGGCTACTTCCTCCAGGTCGTTCCCCACTCGCTGCAGCTCGACCTCGAGACGAGACTGCTCCTGTCTCATCTGCCAGGTGATCTCTGACTCGCTCTCGCTCAGCTGCTGCAGAGCAAACTGAGCCCTCGAGACCTCCAGCACCCATCTCTCTTCCTCCTCCCTCTTGACCTTGAGGGCTCGTTGCAAAGCGGCGATCTGGTCCTCAATAGACGAACACTCCTCGCGGACGTCGGTCAAGCGCTTTTCGGCCTCCTCGACGTCTCTCCTTCTCTTTTCCCTCTCCTGCTGGTCTGAGCTCGCCACGATCAACGTCTCCATCTCCTTGTGAGACTCCTGCAGCTTCGCTTGCTTGGTGACCAGAGCCGTTTCATCTCGCTCGATCGACACCCTCATCCCCTCAAGGCGCGTGTGCGCGTCACGCACGTACTGTTGAGCTTTAGCGCTCGCGTCCTGCTGGACGGAGGACAAGAACTTGCAGGCCTCTCTCCTCGCCAAGATGGCTTTGCGGTGATACTCCTCCTGCTCACTGTCGAGACTCTCATACGACTCGATCAACTTCCTGCACTCGGCGGCGATTCGCATGAGCTCAGCTTGAAGCTCTTTCACCTCGTCCTCCATCTGCTGAGCCGCGTCATAACGCTCAGCTTTAGCCTCCTTCACAAGCGACTCCTGCGCCTCCCTCAGCCTCATGCCGACAAGCGTCTCTTGTTTCGCCAGGTCTTTCCTGCGTTGCACCAGGGCTTTCTTTTCGCGCTGCTTCTCATCGATTTCGGTTTGGAACTCGGAGAGCAGGCGGTTCAGCCCGCTGTCATGGTCCTCCTGCGAGACGTTGACGCGCTCGCACATCTGCTGCAGCCTGTCGAGGGCGGTCAGCTGAGTCTTGGCATGGCTCGCTCCTTCTTCGCTGGGCGCCATCAGAGGCGAAGAAGCAAATCCCTGCTCCTTGGCGATAAAGTCGAACGCTGACGGCTCCGTCTCCTCCTCCTCGAGGAGCGATGACGGAGGAGCGCTCTGAAAGTCTGGTGACTCCAACAAGTTGATCGGGCTTTTGCTCTCAATCTGCTGCTTGCTCTGCTGTTGTATCAGAAACAGTTCCTCCACTTCGGGTGACAGTATCCTGCTCTCTTGCGTCCAGTCACCCACAGGCGATCCAAGCATCGTGCTATCGGCCGGGACAAGAGAAGGAGTATGGGCAGGAGGAGCAGGAGGAGGTGCGGAAGCGAGCGAGGTGGGAGAATTAGGAGTAGGAACAGGGGCAGGAGGAGGGGGTTTGTTTGGCTTTGCAGGAGGCGAGAGGGCTGGGGCAGCGTTGAGTTTGTGGCTGGCGATGGGAGGACCGTCGGGGACAGGAATGGATTCGAAGGAGTCTCCTCCTCCTGGATAGACAAGGGCGATGCTGTGCCCGTACTTCACTCCTCCAGCACAAGCGACTGTGCGGCAGCGACGGCCTGCAGCAGGGAAGGTCAAGCCGAGTCATCGAGTCTCGCAGCCTCAGCGGCACCCGCAAGCGCAGTGAGCTTGGTTGGAGCGCAAAGAGACGCGGACCTCCCCACTCCCAGCTGACCGACCGAGTTGTTGCCCCACGCATAAATCTTCGCAGGCTTGCGTCAGAGCCTTCAAACTCTTGAAACCGCAATGGCTCACCTGCCCAGTCGTCGTGACGGCAAAGCTGTGAGATCCACAAGCTGCGATGAATGAAATGTTTGACAAGCCCTTGATCAGCGTCGGAGTCTTCCGCTCTTTAGCGCTGTTACCAAGGCCTTCTCGACATGTCAGCTTCACTCAGATCTGAAACGAAATGTGTACCTAGCTGCCCATCTTTCCCCCACCCAAACGCGTATACATCTCCACGAGACGACAAGGCAAGAGTGTAGGAGCTGCCACATGCTATCTGCTTGATCGCTTTTTCCTATCCCGTTCAGATCAGATCAGATCCCACACACAGAAATTTTGCCAAAATCTCCTCCACCTTCCTCTCCGTGAACCACCCCCCCCCCCCCCCTCCCGCTCCCCCCTTCAGAATTTACTTGGAGATCTTTGATGGGACGAGGAGATCTATTCTTGTTTCCACCGAAGATGTCCCAACCGCCATGACCAAGTTGTCCGTACTCATCCCAGCCCCAAGAGAAAACAGCACGATCCACTTCAGAGACGACAACCTGAGCACAATCAGGAACTTGTTGGCATAAATTCACCTTGCTGTCCCATACCGTATGTGCGAGGCCACAAGCAAGTGTTGAGACGTAGATTCCATGCAGTTTCTTCACGTACATGGGACGCGACTGACTCGCGTCATCGCCATGCCCGAGCTAGCAGCCTGGTCAGTCAATCGGGAGGATCGCGGGCTGGGCAACCTGTCCGTTCACTCCCCATCCCCAGGTGTACACGTGGCCGCTCTCTGTCACGACAGCCGTATGTGCGGATCCACATGCGACCTTACAGACTTTGACGCCGTCAAGAGAAGTGACTTGGACAGGGTCGTTGGAGTTGTCTGCCACCAACGCTCATCACTAACAAACAATTTTAGTCACACTCCTCACGTGTGCTGCCGACTCCTAGCTGTCCGAAATGTCCCCAGCCCCACGCGAACACAAGCCCTGCCTTGGAAACAACCACCGTGTGTGCCGACCCGCACGCAACCTGCTGCCACCTCAGCGAGTGCAGGAGGCAGTGGAGGGAGGGAGGAGGGAGGGAGGAGGGAGGGAGGAGAAAGGAGAGGAGAGAGAGGAAAAGGGAGGAGGGAGGGGAAGAGGGAGTAGGTTACAGACCTCCACTATCGGGTTTGATTGCAAGCCGACGATCAGTCGCGGCAGAACCAAATTCTGACTATCTCCATGACCCAGCTGCCCACTCTTCCCAGACCCCCACGTGTAGACCTGAAAGAGAAAATCACCCGATACGACGGCACAAGCAGGAGGAAGGAGCTGTACCTGCCCCTGCTCCGTAACTGCTGCTGAGTGCTGCTCCTCCGACCCTCCACCACACGCCACACTGACCACCAGCAGTCCTTGGAGGGCTATGATTGGACAGGGCGATCCAACAGCATCTGTGGTCCCGAGGCCCAGAGCTCCATCATTGTTGAAACCCCAGGAAAAGTTGTCGTACATATCTTCTCGGCTCCCTTTCCTTGCCTCTTGTTCGTTTCTTGACCATGACATGTCCGGAAGCTCCACGTCTCGCGACTGAGACGCGTTTGCGATGAGCGAAGGAATATGCCACCTTCTGATCGTCTTGTCCACTGACCCTGAAAACACAACTTCCCCATCGGCCCAGATGGCATTCACCCAGTCCATGTGCCCTGTTGCTCGCATGATATCGCTCGTGCCAGGAGATCCCGGGAGGTGTAGGACACACTCTCCGGTCATCTTGTTCCAGACTCGCACTGAGCAATCTCCTGCACCGCTAAAGAGAAGTTCGTTCTTCACATGCAGGCAGAACACTGGCGAGGTATGTCCTGAAAAACTGATGCCTTCGCCATCAGTCTGGTTATTGCTTATCTTTATGGCCCTCAATGTGCAGTCGCCTGATCCCGTGAACAGCGTGGAGTCAGCAATACAAAGACAATTGACTGAGAATGAATGATGCTGGTAGATGTACAGGCATTGATGATTCGCCAGCGACCAGAAGCGAACGGTGCAGTCGCCCGAGCCTGTCACCAGCACTTCTCCCTCATCCCAGATCTGCATACAATTGATTGACTGCGAGTGACCAGTGAGTGCGGCAAGCTGCTGCCCGGTTTCGACATCGAGAATGAAGATGCTCCCTTCTTCGCTTCCGTAGAAGACAACATCCCCGAACAGTTGCAGACAGTTCATGGACTTCGCCTCGATGCTCTTCATGAGCTTTCCACTGTCAAGGTCCCATATCTTGATCGTGCAGTCATCTGAGCCACTCACTATCGTGGATCCACGGCAGTCGATGCATCGAACCCAATCAGTGTGTCCTTCCAGTACGGCCTCACACGTGGGCTGACTGGTCGACCAAACTCTGATGGTCGAATCCACCGATCCGCTGATCAACTTCCCTCTTGTTCCATGCAAGCAGATCACTGAGTCCGAGTGCCCACTGTATACGCAGCAATGAGGAGATCCTGAGTGGATCCAAACAGCATCCGTTCTGCTTCTACGAGCACCGGAACTTTCTTGTGCCATGACGCTTAATGTCGGGCTCGTGACATCAAGTTGAAATGTTTCAAACCTGCAGAGCATATCAAACAACGTTCTCTGCTTTTAGTTTCATATTGCAGATCATCTCTTGTAAACACATCTTCGATCGAATATCATCTTTTCTAAACATTGTTTTGAATGCTGCATTATCAAATTTGCCTTGTGCCTTCTTGCTTCAACCTCGCCTGAGACCATCATCATCATCCTCCTCTCGCTATCATATTGAGCGCTTTTCCTCGTCGATCTCTTGCTGTCTCTTCCTCTCCCCTTCCATCTCTTGCTTCTGATCTTCATCGTTCTCATCCCTTCTCTTCCTCTCCCCTTCCCCTTGCTCTGCTTCTCCTCCCCGTGTTTCCAACCATATTGCGCTCCTCGACATTGCTTCCTCTCAGAACGCCGAGGCGGGCTCGCATTGTCTACACCTCCCAAGACAACAAAATGTCGCGATGAGACGCTTGGTTGCCGCTTGACCTGCACGTTTGGTAGAGAAGCTGCTGAGCTGCTTGCCCTCCATATCCCTTGTGTTTCCCTGTATCCTCTGAATCGCGTCTTCCTCATGGCCATGAAGACAGCGGCCGCTGTGTTGGTTGATTACACTCCTCTTACTTGATGTTCTTCAGATCGAGATCGATCTTAAAACATCAGTCAGAAGCAATGGCGGAAGATCAATCGTTCTTTCGGAATCAATTTTCTGACGTTTACTGTATCGTATTTGCGTGAATGGGCAAGGTAGGTGGTATGTATCTTCCTTGACTGGTGGCATCAGAGAAAGCAGCGAGCGCCTTGCTCGTAGGGCTGGAAGGAGAAGAAGACTGATCGACCTGCCTTCAAAGAGCTGTGTGAAACCTACAGGAGCAGTGCGATAGGGAGAGAATGAGCGACGGAGTGAAGAAGAGCGAAGAGTGTGTCACCTGCTTGGAAGGGGAGGCTCAGTGCGCGCTCACTGCCTGCGGATACACGTCTGTGCGTCGCCTTCACTCGAGCATAACCACGACACCTTCGATATGGGAAAGGAATTACAAAAGAGCATGAAGTTCTGATGATGAGCTTTCCTGAGATTTACAATCATTTCAGCATCCTCCCTGATGAGCCGGTACATGAGCATGATGGATTTCAGTATGTGTGTCCTCAAGAGAAATGCCCTGGATCCGGCGGCTTCCCTCCAAGTGTCAACGCTACAGCTCTCCTGGAAAGCCTTTCCTCTTCATCTCAAAATCGTTATGACTTTATGACTTTGAGATTTGGTGTTTTGGCTCTTCGACCTCCGGCGCGCCAACTGTGATTCCTCCTATCACGCCCACTTACTGGAGCTGACGCCATTCAACCGCCTGGTCGCAGCTCTTGTCATCCGCAGAAGCGTATGAAGAGCCTGTCCACGTGCGTGGATCACATCAAGAATCCAGGGTTCCGCAACTACACGCTCCTCGCTCTGACCGGTTTCATGCCCACTCCCTTCGGGTTCGACCCAAGCTTTTCACCCTTCAGCAGCCTTACGATGACAGTTTGAGAGAAAATGATTTCTACGGGGACAGCGAGCGACACTGGTACCTCGACAAAAGTCGGAGAAAGTGATCTCCTATTCTTCTGGCTTTTTCCCGGACAGCCACGACTCCAACCACCTCGACCTCAACCTCGACGGCCAGTTGTCTCCCGATGAACTGGCACACGACGTCAATGGCTCTGACTTACAAGAGCCCTAATGTTGTTGTCAGGAAGGAGGCTGACAACTTGAAGATTTACTTCGACGAGCGGCTGTCGAGGCAGCAAGCAATGAACATGCTGACGAGCTCAGAGGATGGAAAGTTCATCGACTTTGAGACCAATGAAGTCTCTGTAGAGTTGATAGCATACAACGCGGTCAGGAACATCTTGTCCTACTGCAAGGTGACTTTCAGTTGGGACGTAGGGGGAAAGATCCCTTGGAACATAGGGATGGAGGTGACGGATAAACTTCATCACCGACGAAAGTTTTCAGTTGTCGCCTACGCCAAGAACATGATAGATGTCTACCTACTGTTCAACTAGATAGATAGGTAGACATAGATGTCTACCTACTGTTCAACTGGACCGACTGGCGTCGAACTTTGCGGTGGCAAAAAGGCTGCGGACGAACAATCAGGCGAGCGATGTCCTTGACTAGATTCATTAGCCTTCATTGCTCGTCCTCAGAGCACCTCGCCGACATGGAACGAAACGTTTACCTGGAGGCTTCGAGGCGACACGACAATTCTCACACCATCACCCTCTGGGATGAAGACAATGTGCGCACTTTTCAATTTTAATCTTTGCTGGCCTGCTCAAGTGCGCAGATGTCTTCTGACGATTTGATCGGAACTGTGATTGTGGACCTCAAGAGTTGTACAGTAGGAGAAGCGAAGAGAGATGACATAAAGATCCATAACTCACAGAGAGATGCGAAATTGAACGAGCAACGTTGCAACTTGAGATAGAGATTTGAAACGACCAGCAGGCAACAGAGTCAGAGTCGAACTCACAAGACAGGGCAGGTGAATTTCCGTTGATGAACCAAAGAAGCGGAAGAAACTTAGTGATCCTTCTGTCAAGTCACGTCGATTCTACCTTGGATTTAAGGAGTATATAAGGGCACATAACCAAATAATCTTTTGAAGAAAGTCTTTTATCTTCAGTCGAGGTTTGAATATTCAAGCATCTGGGTAAAGTCCATCCTCAAGCATGGCTGTGCGCATGTTGGCGTTGGGCTGCTTGGAGAGATGCAGGTTAAGGAGGAAGGGGAAGCTCCTAAACTTTTCCTTGAAAGCTCGACACAATCTCATCGCTAGGAAGACGATCTTGAAATGTAAGACTTCATCTCTCTTCTTGCCCAGGCCTTCACACTTTCCCTCCCCTTCATCATTCTGTAGCTGAGATCGAGATTCACAGATCTTGTCGGTTACATTTGACGTGTTTCAAGCACTCCCCACCTCAGCATCAGACGGTCTCTTTCATGACATCTAAACCTTTCCTCTCAATCTTCTCTTTCATGTGTTTGATCTGCCTGTGCGGTCTCCCTGCCATATCATTATTATTATGTGAGTTTATTAGAATGCTAGTATGTTGTTCAAGCTGCTTATCAGCCCTCACATATACAATTCTAGTCTAAAGAGGCGCGCGAGTACTGGGAGTACACAGCCTGCAATGCTCACCCTGCTTCTGAGGTCTCTTCCTTCTTTCTACTTCTGCAATCTTCCCTTGGCTTCCTCAGCCTCGGTCGGGAGAGTTGCCCCTCCTCCCCTCGGCCTTCAGTCGCCAACTACTTCTCCTCCCTTCAGCTTCCTCAGCCTCAGTCAGAAGAGTTGCCTCTCCTCACCTTGGCATTCGGTTGCCTCCTACCTTTTCTCCTTACCTTGCCTACCTTGCCGGCTCGTCGGTTGCTCTTCGACTTCACCGCGTTGTCTTGCTTCAGGTGCAGCTCAGCACAAGCTCGGTGCGGGCTCACCCCGTCTCCTTCCTCGCCCTCGCCTTGCTCTTCTTCCATGTCCTCCTCTTCTTCGTCATCTTCCCTCATCTCCACCCCCAGTCGGTCCTTCTTGTCCACCTTCAGCGAGCAGGCCAGCACATGCATCTCATTGTTGTGTCGGGGTCAACGAGATCATTGAGGAGGAGCGACATGTATTCTGAGACAGATCGAGCAGATAGCTGGCAGTTCGTGAGCCACTGGATGATACCCTGGTAGAGATATGATGGTAGGTTTTGATGAACATTCTGTGGGCAATCCTGAGGGCATGGAGAAAGTTGACAAGAGCAAGGAAGATGTGGGTCAGGAGAAGGCTCAAGGATGACTCGAAAGGTCAAGTCCTGCGAAGCACAACGGGTTCAGAGATGTCAGTTGTGGTCAAACTTACACGTCACAGTCTGGAGCAATCGTGATTGCTGGGGATGTTTACTACTACTTCTATTGTAGTTGGTACAACCAGCCGGATGGAACCGACATGGTCAACCTAACTGTCAAAATCTTCCAACTGGGCGAGACAATACAGATGTGTCCTGCTTCCTACATGCAACTGTCAGATTGCCCGAAACCTGAGAATTTTCTCTCAGTCGATGTATCGACAGGAATGTAAACAAACTCTTCCCCCCCTATTGTCCCGCAGCTTGTCCATAGAGCAACTGATGCAAGGCTCAATACAAGCTCACACCCTCTTGAACTCCACCAGCAACTCAGGGTATGTCTGTCGCCGGTCGTAGACGATGAACTCCCTGTACTTTTCCAAGAACGCTGAAGGATGCGTATCCTTTGTCACACCAATCACTGAGTCATGCAGGCGGTCGCTGCCCGGCATTACTGGTGGTAGCCGTACATTGTTCATCGCTTGCATGGCCTCGTAAGACGATCCCAGCACAGCTCGCACCACAAACATACGACAGATCCCGCGGCTGTCTGGCGTGCAGTACTCGTCGCTCTTGCTCGAGTTCTCAGCTAGGTAGATCCCAGCTCCAAACAAGCCTCCCAGACTGCAGACCCGCTCGTCAAGCCCAGCCTTCAAGATAACATCTAATATTTAGTGACTTCCATGCTGATCCGAAAGTGACGCGGCAAGTATGGTGACGTCAGGGTGCGGGTGGGACAGCCTTCAACACAAAAAGAACCGAAATAGAAGGACAGGTGGAATTTGTCTGTAGATGATATGATCTTTCACCCGACTGAACGATCACGAGCTTCGTGCCGTGAAAGATTCAGCCTGGCTGCCTCATCAACAATCAGGCAAACCCCCCGTAGACATGGTAGTCATGTGCAATTGACAGCTCACAGCGGTTGTGATCAGGGAAAAAGCAACAGCCTTGAAACCTGGAACGATCTTACAGAGCATCAACAATATTACTGTGAGAGCTGTACATTAATGGTGCCGCTTGTATGCTCCTGGCGCACAAGGAGCTGCTCTAGAGCTACGTCATAGTATCGTTTTACTCTTCCAGAACAATGATGGAATTCCACACGCTTCACGCTAAGTTCATACCATCAACCCGACAGCTAGGGTTGAAGTAGAAGGCCTCCGTAAGCATTGACACAAACGGGGCCATCTGGACCATGTTGGTCTTGTTCATCACAGATTTCCTTGTCTCTTCCATCACATCGTTCAAACTCTTGTCCTCTACAAGGATGTTCGCCGCAAACACCGACATGAAAGGTCCCCCACGCCCTGGCTCCCCATCCTGTGCTACCTGTCCGGCCTGCGTGGAATAGACAACGCAAGAGTTGACCACGTCGATCCCAGGAGCGCTGAGCTTGTCTGTTCCTACATCAAAGGACCGAGAGGCAGAGGCGGAGAGCCCGTTGCTGCGACAGCAGTCGAGTACGAAAACAGTTGGATTTCGTCCCTTCCTTGCAGTTCGCAAGAAAGATTGAACCTTGCTGAAGGGCAGGGCAAAGCTCTGAAGATCTTCCTCCATGTCTTCGTCCGTCAAGCTGTCTGCCTGAAAGCCCTTGGGGATGAGGAAAAGTTTCCCGTTGACTTCTACCGCATGCCCGATGAAAGCGAACAAGGCGGCATCGCGGTCCTCCCTCACAGAGTCCCTGAAGCCCTTCACAGCCTTTACCATGTCCTCGAGCCCCAAGTTCACCTCGAACTCCACATCCCACCCCAGCTCCATAAGGGCTGATTCAAGCTTCGAGCCGTCCATGATGGCATTGGGAAGGTCCTTGATCTGCGTGTGCTGGTACTTCTTGTTGCTGATGATCAGTGCTTTCCTTGCTCCTGCTGGAGTTGCAAGCGACAAGGCTTTAGGGATAACAAGAGACCGCACCCAGCTGGTGCAACGCTCTGCTTCCATCAGCAGCCCATGCATGGACCTGCAGATGCCCGGATTCTCCCGCCAGCGCCAGCCTTGAGCTGGCAGGTTTGGGAGCACCTCGCTCCCGTGCCTTTCCTTCCACTTGTTCAGGTCCACGCACTTGCGATGGTACGCGAGCTCCACCTTCCTAGTCGTGTGTCGGATGTTCAGCTGCGTGATCATCGACGTGTCTCGCCTGTCCCGCGCGGCGGTCCACTTCCCCGCGTAGTGCACATGCAGGATGACGTAACCGTCCTCCCCAGCCACACGCCTGTCGATGCGATCGAGCTTCAGCCAGTACTCGCGCTCGATGGTCCAGTCAGCCTCTTTCAGTCTCCTTCCGTTGGTGAAGGGGAATTCGGAGAAGCCGATGATCTGCGCTGTTCATCATTCGCAGAAAAGATTCAACAAGTTGGACCTTGACGACGTCGCGTTGCCCCTTGTCGATTTGATCCAGGAATGCCTTCACGTCGTTGGGATTGAATTGCCTCGTGCTCTCCGCTTCCGGCATCCAGTTTGCGAAGAAAAGGGCCAAGTCGTGTTGAGTCTTGTTTTCACCAGAACTTTCAGGGTTCAAACTGACATCAAAATAGTCTTCCAGTACATCCTGGGGCCTCGGATTCCCAATCACCTGGAACAAGGTCTTACGACACAAAGATGTATACAAGAAAGAAGAAAAGGCTTACTTTCTCTTCGTCTTGACGTCGGATGGAGAGACTGAGCAGAGCATCGTCATGTTGTCCTTGAAGCAATTTCTGAAGGTCAATAAAGTTCGGACGCGCATGTTTGTTGTCCTTCCAGCATTCCTGCATGATTCTGTAGCATCCCCAAGGACATGTCTCAGGTTTAGAGAGCCTGTCGCCCTCCAGCACCTTAGGTCCTATAAGCGAATCGTCTGTGATGGCCCAGTAAGGCACTTTGCCGTAAGTCCAGACCTCCCACATGGTCACCCCGAACGCCCACACGTCGCTCTTCTCCGAGTACTGCCTCCTCTCGATGCTCTCCGGCGCCATCCACCGCACGGGTCGAGCCATCGAGCCTGCCGTGCTCACGCTCGCGGCCCTACTCTCCCCGTACCCGCGCGAGGCCATGATGGACAGCCCGTAGTCGGCTATCTTGACGCTGACAGCCAGGTGATCCTCCGGGTCCAGGCTGAACACAAGCACGTTCCTCGCCGCCAGGTCCCGATGCACGACCTCATGCAGCGACAGCTGCACCATCCCGTCGCAGATCTGCCTCGCCACTTGCAGCTGCACCAGCAGACTCATCGTCTCCTCCTTCTCGGCGAAGTTGGACAAGATCACATCGAGAGAGCCTTTGGAAGCAAACTCAGTCACCAGGCAGTAGTCGCCGGAGCTCGGCTCGATGCTGGTGGCGAGGAGGCGAAGGAGGTTGGGGTGACGGCCCAGCTGGAGGAAGATCTTTACCTCCTGCTCGAACTCTTCTCTCCTCCCAGTTTGTCCGCTGCCTCGGATTCGCTGGATTGCCACGTCAGCGCTGCTGCCATGCGGCTGCTGCCACCGAGCCCTGTAGACGAGCTTGAAGGAGCCTGAGCCGATCTGCTGCAGGCCCGTAAAGGACTCGAAGTTCAACGATGGGATTTGACCAAGCTAACGAGAAAGGTTCACCATGTCATCGATTATCATGAAATGGCAAGAAGAGAACCTGGGAAGCAACGTCGTGCTCCTCCCTTTGCTTGCGCTCCTGCTTCTCCCTCGCCTTGCGCTCCTGCTCCTTCTTCTGCCTCCACTCCTGCTCCTCCCTCTCTCTACGCTCCTTCTCCTCTTTGATCTTCTCTTCTTGCGCCTCCAGCTTGCTACTTGCTTGTTCTTTCTCTTGCAGGCGTTTCTTGCAATGCCTGCATCCATACTATCGACAGCAACAGTCAGCTCCGATATAAGGGGGTTCTGAAGTTCCACTCAAAGCAATCACATACCTTCTCGTAGTGCGACCATCCTGCAGACTTGGCGCACTGAGTCAACCAGTCACAAAACAATCAAGACCACTACCAACCGACTGTTGGGAACACAATGAACTTACATTCTATGAGCATTCAAATAGAACGTTGAAGCCAAAACAAGAACACTCAGATCAGCAGGATAATATGCGATGATGTCGATTCTTACGCAGCACTGGTAGATCCAATTCGGAGTTGGCCCATCATTCAGCAAGACATGCCAGACAAAAGCAAGATTGATTTTAGTCCCCATTGTCCCCTAGTGCATCACAAGATATGATACTTACACGCTTTGAAGACAGATTCCATGCATCCAAGCCAGGAAAGAGTAGGAATTGCAAAGCAAATGTCAGCCCAATCGTCCCCTGACCGCATATTTTGATCAAGATACTTACCCACTACACATCAGCAAAGTCCATCCCAGCAAGAAATGTCGAAATTGCAGAAACACATGTCAGCGAGACATCTCCTGAGCGCACATTTGTAGATTGTTACTTACCAGCTATCCAGCCCCATTCGTATTCAATCCGATGATAAACCCACAAAATTGCAAAACCACATGTCAGTCCCTATCGTCCCCTGACTTCATCATATGATATGACACTTACTCCCTATGAAGACGAATTCAATCCATGCAAGCAAGGACCAGGAATTTTCAAAATAAATATCAGCCAATCGTTCCCTGACCGCGCCGAATCATATGATATGACACTTACTTTCTACGAAGGCGAATTCAACCCATGCAAGCAAGGAAAAACCAGGAATTTGCAAAAATAAATGTCAGCCAATCGTTCCCTGAGCGCATCATTTAATATTTGTTACTTACATACTATCCAGCCACATTAACGACCCATCCGAAGCAAATCCGAAAAAACGCAAACATTCATGTCAGCCAATCGTCCCCTGACCGCATCATAGCATTTGCAACTTACTGCCTATCAAGCCCAAGTTTCATCCATCCGAGCGAAAAAACGAAGGAAATTTGCAAAATGAAATGTCAGCCAATCGTTCCCTGAGTGCATCATATGATATGACACTTACATCCTATGAAGACAAATTTAATCCATGCAAACAAGAAAAAACCAGGAATTTGAAAAATACATGTCAGTCCAATTATCCCCTGACTTCATCATATGATATGACACTTACTCCCTATGAAGACGAATTCAATCCATGCAAGCAAGGAAAAACCAGGAATTTTCAAAATAAATATCAGCCAATCGTTCCCTGAGCGCATCATATGATACTTACTCTCTATTAAGACGAATTCAGTCCATGCAAGCAAGGAAAACCCAGGAATTTGCAAAATACATGTCAGCCAATTATTCTGTGAACGAGCATATGCTGCACAGACTGATGCTTACCGCCTTCCGAATAACAACATGGCAATTCACGGCAGAACGTAAAACACACAAAGTCAGATGACGCCTACTAGGAGCTATTCAAATTACGCATTTTGTGCTGTCGTTGGTTTTATAATCGACCACGATCTGGAGAAACACAAGTCAGAAGGTCAAGAAAAGTGTGATGAGGAAGTGAAGGAGCCGCCAAGAAAGGAGTTGAATGATGGAAGGAACAGATGCGGGGGAGCAAAGCAAACTTCTCCATCATCAAGCATGTCACTCAAGGTAACAGCATCTCATCGCTGCTGCTCCTTGCCTGGCAAATAGGGCATTTCCACGGCATTGCGGAGGTTGAGAACAGAGGGCGGGGTAGGTGGAGATTTGGGGATGTATTTGTACGGGTAGGGTGGGCAAAACATTTTCAATCGTAAGGGAGATATTGAACATATAGATCAATCTTTCAAAGATTGGTGTAGATATTGAAGAAAAAATTGAAATCAAGACGAATGTAACGGCTGTTGCCTTTTTGACCTTGCGTTTCTTAGTGACCCCACCTACCTGCCTATCACAAACGCATATGCCCCTACCCACCAGCTCCATATCCCCTCCACCTTCCCCTCCACCCCCTGCTCCACCCCCCTCACTTTAAAGTTGACATGCCCCCAGCCCTCAGCCAACTCGACGGCTCTGGAAAGCGAAATGCTTGTTTGCTCATGTCATCACGCGATATCAGCGCCTGTTGTGTCTTGTTCCTGCTCCTTGGGTCTCCCAACCTGCTCTTCGACTTCCTCCCATCCCCCGCATCCTTCCCCTTGCCCCAGCTGCTTCCCCCCCTCTTGTCCCGGCTGCTCCCCCCCACACCTGTCCTCCTTCCATCGCCATGCTCCTTCTTCCTCTTGCTCTTGCCCCGGCTCCTCCTTCCATTGCCATGCTTCTCCTTCCTCTTCCTTGTGCCTTGCCTGCCTTGTTCAGTTTTCCCCGTTCTGTTACGGTCACACCCTGCGCGCCTGCAAGGATGAAGCGAGTCCATCATGCGGATGTTGCCAGCCGCCTTGCTGTCCATCACTGACACAGCAGCGGGGACAGCGGAGACATCGGAGATGACGGGGACAGCGGAGACATCGGAGATGACGGGGACAGCGGAGGCATCGGAGATGACGGAGATGACGGGGACAGCGGAGGCATCGGAGATGACGGGGACAGCGGAGATGACGGGCACAGCAGAGACATCGGACAAGATGACGGGGACAGTGCTAGGCTCTCCTGTTGTAGCCAAGCAGCCTGACGTTTCGGAGCCTCGCCCGGGCCTGCCTTGTCCGGCGGCGGGTGAGGGTGCAGATTTGTTAGGATATGCTCCTCCATCTTGATGACGCGGTGCAAGAGATGGCTCCGGAGAGCCCAGGAAATGCATCCTTCCCCACGCTACAAGAGTGGGCTGATAAGGGTGCCAACGAGGCAGAGAATGCCGTGAGCAAGCGACTGAGAGATCGCGTCAAGACGATTGCAGGTAAAAACATGTGGAAAGTAGCGAAGCGCAGGAACAGCGCGTTCGCACCAAAGGAAGAGAAACCATTGAAAACTGATCTTCTCTTCATTGCTTTGAATAAATTCCTGGAGGAAACGGCGCTCTCCCTTGTAGGAATGCTGGGAGATAGAAAGCCAGACTACACCGACGATCGAATGGAAGATGTACCCGAGGCAGGGAGCATGGCGGCGGAATCGGAAGAGATGTCGCTTGACTCCCTTCCAGCAGCGCAAGCTTAATGGAAGCAAGAGGAGGAGGAGAAGAGGGCAGGTGGGACAGGGGGCAACACGGTGAGGTGGAACCAAGTCAGGAACAACAGGACAAAACAGACAACAAAAATCAGAAAAAAAGAACAACACAAGTGGTCGACTGGGTGGGAGAGATTCCATGGAGTCGACGGGAACAAGGGATGGAATATGGGTTGTCAGCGCTGCTGAACTCAGGGAAAGCAGGGTTTCTTTCAGAAGATGTAGTCGAGGCGTTAATCCTCGAGGGGAACAACGGACTAGAACCAGAGGAAGCTAGATTTCATGTAGCACGGCTACAAGATAAGAGGTATGCAAACGAGCAATCTAAAAACCAGAGCAAGCCGCAGAGAGGGACTATTGTCCTCCCGAGAATAGTTGCTTGTTTGAAAGATCAAGAGGGGAGGACAAGAAGAGCAAAGCGACTGCTCACAGGAGCAGTTCAGCCATTCCTATTCCCATGCATAGAGAACGGCAATCACTGGATACTAATCGTGGCAGATTTCACCACGAAAAGAATACACATTGTCGACTCGCTCAGCAAAGCTGAGAGAGATCTGGGAATAATCCGAAGCCAAAGGGAGGCACAGTTTCAGCTGGATGGCGCGCAGCGAATGGATTTGGCAACACTTGCGGCGACGATTGTCACCGAGGCATTCAGCAACCAGCAAGAGCAAGAAACGATATGGAACGCATCTATACTCACAGAACTGCAACAAACAGACAACCACAGCTGCGGGACCTTCGTACTGCTGCATCTACTACTGATCGCAAAGACAAGATGGCTGACACAACAACAGGACATCCCCTACACAGGTAGGCAACAAGGCGGTGCTGCCCCACCTCAGCCATGGCTAGAGAGGACGAGGCACCTGCTCCTAGAAGCAATCTGTGCAGAGGGTTTAATGGGAGCAGCGATTCAAAACATTTGCAGAGCTCTACAATGCGCGCGAGATACGGGATATATGGACTGGCAAACAACAGAGCTCACCACGGAAAGCATACCTAACCAGATTGAAAGGCAAGAAGACAGCCCAGAACGCGCAGGCGAGATACCGACAACCCAAGCAACTGAGACATCGAGGCAAGACCAGCGGTGGGAGCACGAGCGGGGGCAGGGCGGGCAAGGACAAACGAGGAACATGGCGGACCTGCAGGTATATGAAAGGTCAACACAACTCGACATCCCATCACCGCATTCCGCACCACTGGAAGTTCCTTCCCTTCCGCCCTACCGCCAGCCGTCGTATCCCTCAAAGCGAGCCACGAACGATGAAGGGGGACTAGGGAGGAGGAGGAACCGCACTTGCCGGCGATGGAGCGAGGGGGAATACTGCATCGACTTCAATGGGCTACGAGGGAGGAGGAACAAACTCTAACAACAGGTAGAAAACCTTCCAATGCAAGGAGAACAGAAACATCAGAGCAAGCATCATGGGTGGAAATGCACAGACAGGATTCCGCGCCAGGCAACATCATCTCTCAAAATGTCAATGGGTGCAGTCAATTTGTGCTGAAGCACATCCTGGGATACCTGATCGAGACGTACCAACCAAGCGTTGTAATGTTGCAGGAGGTCTTGGTAGGGGGGAGGAGGAAGGAGACAGCTCTCAGAACGATGTGCTCATGCTGACCTCCTCCCCCGCCCCCCCCCCTCCTCTAGCCGCCTCGACATGGCGGGGGGAGAGCGCGAAGTATGCAAAAAAATACAAGTTTTACAGATCGGGAAAAAAGAACCGATAACACGCATTTGTAATGTACATTTCCTTACCTGAGCATCGAAGGAGGATGAGCAAGCCGACATGTGGAAAGCGCTGAGTCAGATGCTAAGGACAGATCCAAGCGTCAAGCTCACCATCGTCGGAGGCGACTTTAATGCATCTCGAAAACACCCTGAGATCCTCATGAGAGAAGGATACGGGAGCAACTCGAGCGTGCACCACGCCGACGAGGAAATGGAAGCAATCTTAAACGAGTTAGGGCAATTTCAAACAATCACCTGCGAGAAAATGAGCAGAAGCAGCACGCACTTCACCTTCTCCACATGGTACAAGCAGGGTCATCATCAAGCAAAACTGGATCATTTTTTTGCTTTCCATCACCCATCCTACACAGTAAGCTTAATATCGCAGACCGCAGAGGATTGCATCATAGGAGCCGCAATCGACCACAGAGCACTTGTAGTGAATGTGAGCTCGCTCAATGCTGAGGGTAAGCAAGCCATCCCAAAGATTGAAATTCTCTCGCAAAGGAGGGATCGTGAAGCAACCCCTGGACAAGCTATCGGGAAGACTAGGCGTGGAATGGGCAATAGCACTTGATGAGAAGATAAAAGCGGCACAAACTTTACATCAAGACTGCAACATTCTCGAATTGATAACAACAGCCCTACCCACCAAGGAAATCCCCCTGCGAGGCTCCGGCGGTAAACGTCATGCGTCCAAGACTCGAAGATCCAGATGGACCTGAAACGTAAAATCAAGCAACTCCACAAGGATTTAAGAAACGCTTCAGAAATTCCAGACTTTATTGATCGCGCACACAAGGAGTCGAGCCTAAAGGCAGAAATAAGAGAGAATATGACCAAATTCAAGTAGATCTGTGCAGCACAAGATCAAGAGTTATTCACGAAAGCGTGCGACCGACGTTGCCAACTACGGTGCCTTTGCAAATTCGGGCAAGGCAGCGGCGACCAGCAGCCAGTGGGTTTCTACCGCGACAGCTGGAAAGAAGGCCGCTTTCTATCTTCTGAAAGGCTGCACCAGCTGCCTGGCGAACCAGTACCTTAGCGGCTCCGCCTGCACGGATTGCCCGGGCCCTTCGACTTCCAGGCCCGGCGCCAACACCGTCTACGGCTGCCAGACAGCTGGAAAGTTTTCGGTGGAAGGGAACGGCTTTTCTGTTGCGGACTGCGAATCTCCAAAGGGTTGTGCTGCGAATACATACCAGAACACAGCAATCGGCGGCTGTACGGCCTGCCCTTCCGGATCTTCAGAAGGAAATTCGCTATCGATCTGCGACTGCAAGACGCCGTGCCCTTCCAACACATACTATTCTGGCGGTCAGTGCGTCGCCTGCGCAAGCGGGACAGTTTCACCTCCCTACGCTAGCTCCAATAGCGGGACGTGTGATACAAAGAGCTACTGCGAGGCCAATGCGTACGGGGATAATACATTAAAAAGAGTATGGAATATACAATCATTTGTTGGCACTGGATCAAGAGGTACACAAGATGATGCAACCGGTGTGGTAGGACAATTAAACTATCCATACTACATTACACAATTCAATGATAATCTATACATATCAGATTACGTTAATAGCTTGCTTCGCATAGTGGACATAAAAACAAGAAAATTGTCCACATTCATAGATGCATCGAATTCAAAAACAAGTGTAGGAAAAATCATGGGTATTGTACCCAGCAAGTCGCGGAATGTGCTTTATTCAACTACGTGGGATAATTATTGTGTCAAAGAAATTGATTTGACAACTAAAATTGTGACTACTATTGCTGGATTATGCGGAACAAATCAATATGTTGATTCTACTGGAACCAATGCACGATTTTCCAACATGATAGGGGTTGATTTGACCAAGAATGAGCAGTACTTATATGTTGCCGACGTGGGAAATAATAAGCTGCGTCGAATTGATGTATCAGTAACACCGGTTGTGGTAACTACTGTCACAACTATAGCTTCATGTACTCACTATGTACATTGGATGTCAAACTTTACACACAATTTACAAAGTCAATAACATTAAGACTGCAACGTTTCCTATTACGGCGGTTGCTTGGATCGGTGATGGTACAGCTGGAAATGTACAAGGATATGGAACAAAAGCTCGAATAAATACACCTTATGGTGTTAAAGTCAGCCCTTGTGGAAATTATGTTATTGTTTGTTCAAATCATTTTGTTTCAGCCGCAAGGGTATCTGATGGGTACTTCTTTAATCTTGCTGGTTCTACAACCATTTGATTCATTGTTCAATGTTCCAATGTCACCAGTATTTACCAATGGAAATACACAGCTTTTTATTGTCGGTGAAGATCAAGCTAGGATACTTGTTATGGACATCGATTATTGCCATACATGTGATTCCAATCACATTTCACCATCCGGCTCCACCAACGCTTGCTTCTGCCAAGCCAATCCATGCCAAGCCAACCAGTACTACGACTGGACTCTTACCACACCGACCTGCGTCAGCTGCCCAAGCGGAAAGTTCAGCGCCGCTGGAAAGGCTAGATCCATCAACGACTGCTATTCGGCTTCAACCTGTCTGATCAATCAATACAAGGATTCAGCAGGCGCCTGCCAGTCCTGTCCTTCGACTTACGTCCCCTGCCAAAACTGCAAGGTCACGCCCATTGTTATTTCACCAATTCCAACGGTTCTGGAGCTCGGCAAAGGGTCAGCGGGCTTTGTCTACTACTTAGTCAACGACGGATCCGCCAACCAGTTCACCTACACCGTAAACTTCCCGTACGCCGCAGTGGTTGATGTGCTGATCGTGGCGGGTGGGGGTGGAGCGACAGGATTTGGTGGTGGAGGGGGTGCAGGTGGTGTGCTTCTTGGAATTAATTTGAAAGTCACAACCGGAATTTATACTGCAAAAGTTGGAAATGGGGGCGCAGGAACAGCACAGTGTGGAACATCTACTTGTGTTGCAAACAATGGACAAGATTCTACCTTTTCTACATACACTGCAAAGGGTGGAGGTGCTGGTGGAGGTAGGAAAAATGGCGTAACTGCTCCATGTTGTTCATGTAGAAATGGAGTCGATGGTGGAAGTGGAGGTGGTGCATCTATGGGCAACGATGACACTTGTTCTGGTGGCAATACGATTTATTCAGTTTATGATGGATTTTTCATTTATGGCAATATAGGAGGATTTGGACAAGGGCCTGGATATTGTAACATAAATCCAAATCACGTTCATGGGGGTGGTGGAGGTGCTGGTGGTCCTGGAAAAAATGCTTTATGTGGAAGCAAAGCAGGAGATGGTGGCGTTGGAATTGACATGTCAGGGGTGTTTGGATCTACATCTTTCGGGGATAATGGATGGATTGGGGGTGGTGGTGGTGGAAATTCATATCAATCTGGTGGTACATCATCAATTGGTCTTGGTGGCAAAGGTGGTGGCGGCGATGGTGGTTATGACGCTGGTAGTGGTGCATTACAATGTGTGAATGGAATGTCAGGGACGGGAGGAGGAGGTGGTGGTGGTCGTTTAAGTAATAATGGCTGTAATGGCGGTTCCGGCATCATCATCATCCGCGTGAAGGAGGTTGGAACGATGGCGGCGCAGGTTTCGCCGGCCGGAAGCAGCTCTTCGGACTTCTGCACCAGTGACATGAACACGCCCGGGCAGTATTTTACGGGCGAAACGCAGAGCAGCTATGCGTCGTGCGGTGCGGGCAAGACGTCGGAGCCATGGGCTTCGTCCAGTGCCATTTCATGCGTTGACAAGAGCGTGTGCGAAGCGGGATATTACGGCACCGGTGAAGTTTCGGGTGTTTGGGATGTTCGGACGCTTTCTGGCCCTTCAACAGGAACGTCGACAGCGGGTTATCGGAACGGGGCAGCTGCAACGGCCAGATTCAGCAATCCGTACAATCTGATGGCCGCGCGGGAGTACGTGCTTGTAGCCGACACTGGAAACAACATGATCCGCAAGGTCGACATAGAGAGCGGGTATACGAACACGCTGGCGGGACAGTCGCTTGCTGGCACTGCGAACGGTGTCGGCACGCTTGCGCAGTTCAACATGCCGGTGGATGTGACGGTGGATTGGAACGAAACGGTGGCTTACGTTTCTGATCAGGGGAACAACTGCATCCGCAAGATCGACCTGTTGACGGCGGCGGTGACGACGTTTTCTGGCACCTGCACCGCTTCTGGTTCGATCTACACCAAGCCCAGGGGTATAGCGCTGACGGACAGCATGGACTACTTGATCGTTATCGATTCCTTCAGCATTTTCAAGGTCGCGATCGTCACTTCCACCGCAACGAACCTTTACACGCTGACTGTCATGAATCCTGTCTACAATCCGCTGGGCCTTGACGTCTTTGGTCCGACTGTGTACATTGCCTTCAAGGATTACCATCAGATTATGAAGTTGGACTGGACTTCGGCTACACCTTCGCTGGTTGTCGTTGCGGGCAGCGGCGTTGCTGGCCTTACGGACGCTGTCGGGCTTAGCGCGCAGTTCTACAACCCAACGGGGGTTGCGGTGGATTGGTATGGCGCGTCGCTTCTGGTTGCCGACAGCATGGATTCGACCATCCGCAGGATCGACCTGATGACGTCTGAAGTTACGACGCTGGCTGGCAACGGAAATGCGGGGTTCATTGACAATCTTTATGCCAACGACGCGGAATTTACCGTGCCCTTCGGCGTTGCGCTTTCCAGGGATGGCAAGTATGTCTTCGTTTCGGACCAGAACAGGAATAATATCAGAAAGATGAAGGCGGATGCGTGCGTCAGATGTCCTTACGGTAAAGTTTCCGTCAATGGCTCGCGCACGCAGGGCTTCTGCCAGACTTCGTACGCCAAGCTCTGGGACTATGTCGACTATCTGACCCAGCGCAACAGTAGCTTGAAACTATATGAATCTAACCTTGCGCTCTGGCTGGATTCCAAAAACGTTGATGGAAGCTTCAATGCCGGGCAGACGCCGTCTGCTTCGGTGCCGCAGATGCTCTCTGGTTTGCCGTACACGCGTTGGAATAATGGTTATCAGCAATATGTTGGAATACCTGCAAGCACGGGTGTTTCAATCAATATCAACAATTTATTTACTGTTACTTCAGAAAATTTATTTGCAGTGCAATACAATGGATACTTCTATACGGGTCAATATTCAGGTGTCTTTACATTCTACCGCAATAGCGATGATGATAGTGCTATATACATTTATAAAGATGGAACGGAAGTATTACTTACTTCGGGAACTTGGCAAGGTTCTGTTGCTAGCTCCAAAGCTTCAGCACAAACCACACTTGATTCTTATACGTATTATCCCGTAATGTTTAGATTTTCCGAAAATCTAGGGGGTAATTACTTTACAATAAGTTTTTCGCATGCACAAATAACAGAGCGTACAGATGGAACAGGCTTCTACTTCTACCGTGCAGACGGCGTGTGGTCTACTTCCGAAATCCGTTATTTTAACAAGCTTTCAACCTGGAACGATCTAAGCGGGAACGGCAGGCACGCAACATCCCTGACAACATCGGACAATAGCAAGTATTCGCTGACCTGCCAGCTTCTGCCGGATGTAGGCGTAGAGTTCAACGGGAATTGCGGCTACAAGACGACTGTTTCCAGCCCGCTCTCCGCAGTGGAAACGACGATCTTTGCGGTGGTGGAGCGCACTGGCGCGGACAGCGGGACGCAGGGGCACGTCATTTCGGGCCGGAAGTCGACCGGAACCGTGTCGCAAACGCTGGGCTTTTCGACGGACACTTCGGCGTTCTACACGCGGGACGACGGTGTCAGCGGGAATACAGACACTACGACCAACACGGACGCGCTGCTGAACACGGTGGCAAGGAAGGAACGCATTGTGATGACTGCGACCGCATCTTTGCAGAGCGGCGTCGATGTTACGCAGCTGCAGGTGAACGGCTTCAGCCACGCCACGACGATTCTTAGCCACGCCCTTGGTGCTACGGACGCAAGCGGTTACGCGGTGATTGGCGCTGCCAGCGATCTTTCTTCTGGCAACAACTTCGTGTCTTTGACATCGCACTTCCTTCTGTCCAAACTACAGCGGTCCATCGCTACCTTAGCGAGAAGTGGGGCGTATCATCGCACCATATGGATTCGAACGCGAACGGGGTGACGGACTACTACGACGCGAACGACAACCTTCCTTCCTGCGCGCTTTGCGGTGCGGGGGACCAGTCTTACTACGGGCAGTGCATGGCCTGCATGCCTGGGCTGTATTCGGATGATGGCTTCGTCTGCAAGCCCTGCCCTTCGAACAGCACTTCCAGCTTCGGTGCGAAGAGCGTTGGGCACTGCGCGTGCTTTGCGGGCTACTACCGGAAGGATGTCTATAGCTGCGACATCTGCCCCGCCGGATTCTACTGCCCGCAGGTGTGTGGTTGAACTGATCTAGCTGGTAGACGGTGTATTTCAGTCGTAAGTGTTCCGAATAAATGTTTTTCAAAGAAATGAAGGGTCTTTTTCTTATCCTCTTCTTTTGTCATTGTTTTATTAAGATATCATTCTCCCTGCCCTCCTGCCCTGACGGCTACTACTACCGATGGCCGCAATGCTGGCCCTGCCCGGCGATCACCGCCTGCCCTTCCGGCTACTACAGCGACGGCTGCAGCGCGTCGTCCGGCGGCGTCTGCAAGAAGTGCGATGCTTGTTCGGCCAACCAGTTCCGGGCGGGTTGCGGCAATGCGAGCGCCGGCGTCTGCTACCAGTGCCATGGCGTTGTATCGTCCAACTACCTCTTTCCCTGCCCGCCCGGCACGTACAGCAATGCCACTGGAAACAGCCGTCTTTCCCACTGCCTTCCGTGCGAAGCTGGCAAGTACAGCGACCAGAGTGGGCAGCTGGCCTGCAAGACGTGCCAGACGGCCACCATAGCTCCTTACGCTGGCTTTTCGACCTGCTACGACTGTCCGCCGGGCTTCAAAGGGATCATTGGAAACTATCTGACGTGTGATCAGTGCGGTGTCGGCGAATATCAAGACGAATCCAGACAGACGACCTGCAAGCAGTGCCCTGCGCCGCGCACCTCCAGGCCGAACACCACCGCTATAGACGGCTGCGTCTGCAGCTCTGGTTACTACGAAGTGGACGGGCAGTGCCAGACCTGCCCGGAAAACTTTGTCTGCCCGATTTCTTACGTTTAGATACAAAAATGGCTTGGAATACAAAGATTGATGCGCAGTTTCGTATCAGTCCTGTCCCCGGTAAGCAAACGCGTCGTTTCATGGTTCGGTCCCCTGTCTTTTGCATACACTTCTTGTAATGGAAATGCCCTTAGTTCAGCTATTCTTTCATCAATAGTTCTTTCTATCAATGTGGTGTTGTTTTCAAGATGGTTTAGGGTTTAGGGTTATTTTCGGCAGGCGCCGTTATTTTCGGCAGCATGGCTCCTCGTCAGGTGTAGGGGAAGCCGCCAGGGCGCCAAGGAAGCTGCAAGCGAGAGGTTTGTATACTTCAAATAGCTTTCTAAGTATGGTTCTTCAGTATGATGAAAATGTTCGCAACCTGCTGTATCGGAGATCATGCCAATACACGCAGAGCGGACTTGTGGATGCCTCTGTCCTCGAAGCTGATCTCGTCGAGAGGGTGAAGAGCTTCGCGAAGCGTTATCCGAACAGCAGGACAGCCCAGGCTTGCAAGGCTGTGGAGGGATGCACCCCCGACGCTATCGCAGAAGCCATCCGCTCGACATGTCAGCAGGCACGACGTGAGCTTCTGCAAGAAGCGATGACTGGATGGAGTGACGCATCCAGAGAGTGGTTTATGCAGCAGATTGAAGAAGCCAAGAAGGAGAAGGTCGAGACATACACCGCCTCAGCAGGCAACGAGGTGACTTCCTTCATCTCCATGACTCTCCTGGGCATCTCCTCGGTGTATGTCAACCATGAAGAAAAGCTGAAGAAGAAATTTGAAGAGATCGGACTGATCGTAGACTCAGTGCAAGAGAGTAAAGCAATCATGTGGAAGGCTCCGTATAGACCCGAGATAGCGAGTGCTGAGGAGATCCCGGTGACTGTTTCCTTCCTCCGCAATGCACAAGCGGAGAAGCTCTGGCAGGGAAGAGAGGACTTCGCGATCGATGGTCGCAAGTTCACAGCTGTACATGTGAGCATCGTGCACGATCGATCTTTCAAGATTCGAGCCAAGAGAGGACCCTGGGGCAAAGGGGGCAGCTTGGCAGAGCTGACTCACCTGCTAACCTTGGGCGGCATGACAACGGCTGAGATAGCTGCCGTCTATCGCTATCAGCTGCTGCGCCAGTCCCTTGCAGCGGTCCAACTCCAGCCGCTGGCAGGCATGCTGGTCGCTGGGGCGCCAGGACAGCAAGTCCACAAAGGCTTAGGTCAGAAAGGCTTCATCGCTGTAGGGGCCAACGTCATCTGGAGACAGAGGGAGGTGGAGTGGATCGTCTCCTCGAGCTGCCCAGAGGCGAATGATACAGCATTTCGAGCTTTCCGAGAGAGCGAAGCGATGGAGGGAGTACACCTGACTCTGTTCAGCGAGGACCCGAAGATCAGAGAGGCGCTCGCAGTCGAGTTGACAGCTGATCGCTTTGTGTCCAGAAATAAGTTGAAGAAGGCATCAAGGAGGCAGAAGAAGGCAGGCGGCAAGGACGGCAAGGAGATCAAGATCATCATCAAGTCGACGGCGGCATCTGGTCGCTTCACGAGGAAGGAGATGGAGGGGCTGTGCAACGGCGGCAACACGTCTATCGCAAGAGTCAAGAGAGTCTTGTTGGAGATCGCTAACAGGCTCGAGATCAACGTTGAAGGCATCGACATGGAGGAGGATTTGAACACCAAGTCCTGGAACGGGTCCAAGCTATGCATCCTCCTCGGCTCCACGGAGGATGCTCGACGCATGATGAAGGAGCTGCCCTTCTATCTCGAAGGCGCAGCAACCAAGCTCGAAGCAGTCGGCTTCGACAAGGAGCCTGACTCTGAGGCGGCTGGTCAGCGGGGCACCAGCGACGCAGCGCAGCGGCAGGAGGAGAGCGAGGGAGAGTGGCTGGAGTTTACAGAACTGGAGAGGATCACAATGGAGGCAGCATCTCCGTCAAGCCAAGAGGACATGCAGCTCGTCAGCGAGCTGTCAGCAGTCATCGAAGATGCAGCTTCTTTGAACGAGGCGGGGACTAGCGAGCCGATCAAGCTGGTCCTGGACAAGGCCGTTGGCAACCTCCACGACACGTTCTACTCTCCGGGGAGCCTGGAGTTCATGTCGCTGGGAGAGTGGGCGAAGATGCCAGAGGAGCAGGGAGTTGGGCGCAACGTTCTCAAGGAGAAGCTGGGGAAGTGGCTGCAGAGCAAGCGCTGGACTCGCGTGCAAGGAGAGAGCAAGAAGGCAAGGAGGGGCAGCGCGTTCTCGCCACGGGCAACGGCAGCTGCTGAGCTTGAGCAGGAGGCGGAGAGCGACGACATAGAGCGTCGATCTCTTAGCTTCCTGTTCATAGCACTGAGTAAATTCGCAGAGATGCATGTGCTGGCCTGCTCGCTGAAGGTGGACAAGAAGGACCGACTGCGGGTGGAGATGAGGTAAGATGGCGAAGAAGAGGAAGACATGGAGGAAGAGCAAGGCGAGGGCGAGGAAGAAGACGGGGCGAGCCCGTACCGAGCTTGAGCTGAGCTCAAGGTAAGTAGAGAAGGTGGAGGCGACCGAAGGCCAAGGTGAGGAGAGGCAACTCTCCTGACTGAGGCTGAGGAAGCTGAATGGAGGAGGAGTAGGTGGCGACCGAAGGCCAAGGTGAGGAGAGGCAACTCTTCTGACTGAGGCTGAGGAAGCTGAATGGAGGTAGAGTAGGTGGTGACCGAAGGCCAAGGTGAGGAGAGGCAACTCTCCTGACTGAGGCTGAGGAAGCCAAGAGAAGACAGCAGAAGTAGAGAGTAGAAAGACGCCTCAGAAGCAGGGTTCGCATTGTAGGCCGTGTACTCCCAGTGCTCGAGCGCCTCTTTAGACTAGGATCAAATTGCATAAGCCCACAACGAGGCCGAGCAACATTCTAGCATTCTAATAAACTCACATAATAATAATAATAATAGGGTTTAGGGTTTAGGGTTTAGGGTTTAGGGTTTAGGGTTTAGGGTTTAGGAGGCGCCGTTATTTTCGGCAGGCGCCGTTATTTTCGGCAGGCGCCGTTATTTTCGGCAGGCGCCGTTATTTTCGGCAGGCGCCGTTATTTTCGGCAGGCGCCGTTATTTTCGGCAGGCGCCGTTATTTTCGGCAGGCGCCGTTATTTTCGGCAGGCGCCGTTATTTTCGGCAGGCGCCGTTATTTTCGGCAGGCGCCGTTATTTTCGGCAGGCGCCGTTATTTTCGGCAGGCGCCGTTATTTTCGGCAGGCGCCGTTATTTTCGGCAGGCGCCGTTATTTTCGGCAGCATGGCTCCTCGTCAGGTGTAGGGGAAGCCGCCAGGGCGCCAAGGAAGCTGCAAGCAAGAGGTTTGTATACTTCAAATAGCTTTCTAAGTATGGTTCTTCAGTATGATGAAAATGTTCGCAACCTGCTGTATCGGAGATCATGCCAATACACGCAGAGCGGACTTGTGGATGCCTCTGTCCTCGAAGCTGATCTCGTCGAGAGGGTGAAGAGCTTCGCGAAGCGTTATCCGAACAGCAGGACAGCCCAGGCTTGCAAGGCTGTGGAGGGATGCACCCCCGACGCTATCGCAGAAGCCATCCGCTCGACATGTCAGCAGGCACGACGTGAGTTTCTGCAAGAAGCGATGACTGGATGGAGTGACGCATCCAGAGAGTGGTTTATGCAGCAGATTGAAGAAGCCAAGAAAGAGAAGGTCGAGACATACACCGCCTCAGCAGGCAACGAGGTGACTTCCTTCATCTCCATGACTCTCCTGGGCATCTCCTCGGTGTATGTCAACCATGAAGAAAAGCTGAAGAAGAAATTTGAAGAGATCGGACTGATCGTAGACTCAGTGCAAGAGAGTAAAGCAATCATGTGGAAGGCTCCGTATAGACCCGAGATAGCGAGTGCTGAGGAGATCCCGGTGACTGTTTCCTTCCTCCGCAATGCACAAGCGGAGAAGCTCTGGCAGGGAAGAGAGGACTTCGCGATCGATGGTCGCAAGTTCACAGCTGTACATGTGAGCATCGTGCACGATCGATCTTTCAAGATTCGAGCCAAGAGAGGACCCTGGGGCAAAGGGGGCAGCTTGGCAGAGCTGACTCACCTGCTAACCTTGGGCGGCATGACAACGGCTGAGATAGCTGCCGTCTATCGCTATCAGCTGCTGCGCCAGTCCCTTGCAGCGGTCCAACTCCAGCCGCTGGCAGGCATGCTGGTCGCTGGGGCGCCAGGACAGCAAGTCCACAAAGGCTTAGGTCAGAAAGGCTTCATCGCTGTAGGGGCCAACGTCATCTGGAGACAGAGGGAGGTGGAGTGGATTGTCTCCTCGAGCTGCCCAGAGGCGAATGATACAGCATTTCGAGCTTTCCGAGAGAGCGAAGCGATGGAGGGAGTACACCTGACTCTGTTCAGCGAGGACCCGAAGATCAGAGAGGCGCTCGCAGTCGAGTTGACAGCTGATCGCTTTGTGTCCAGAAATAAGTTGAAGAAGGCATCAAGGATGCAGAAGAAGGCAGGCGGCAAGGACGGCAAGGAGATCAAGATCATCATCAAGTCGACGGCGGCATCTGGTCGCTTCACGAGGAAGGAGATGGAGGGGCTGTGCAACGGCGGCAACACGTCTATCGCAAGAGTCAAGAGAGTCTTGTTGGAGATCGCTAACAGGCTCGAGATCAACGTTGAAGGCATCGACATGGAGGAGGATTTGAACACCAAGTCCTGGAACGGGTCCAAGCTATGCATCCTCCTCGGCTCCACGGAGGATGCTCGACGCATGATGAAGGAGCTGCCCTTCTATCTCGAAGGCGCAGCAACCAAGCTCGAAGCAGTCGGCTTCGACAAGGAGCCTGACTCTGAGGCGGCTGGTCAGCGGGGCACCAGCGACGCAGCGCAGCGACAGGAGGAGAGCGAGGGAGAGTGGCTGGAGTTTACAGACCTGGAGAGGATCACAATGGAGGCAGCATCTCCGTCAAGCCAAGAGGACATGCAGCTCGTCAGCGAGCTGTCAGCAGTCATCGAAGATGCAGCTTCTTTGAACGAGGCGGGGACGAGCGAGCCGATCAAGCTGGTCCTGGACAAGGCCGTTGGCAACCTCCACGACACCTTCTACTCTCCGGGGAGCCTGGAGTTCATGTCGCTGGGAGAGTGGGCGAAGATGCCAGAGGAGCAGGGAGTTGGGCGCAACGTTCTCAAGGAGAAGCTGGGGAAGTGGCTGCAGAGCAAGCGCTGGACTCGCGTGCAAGGAGAGAGCAAGAAGGCAAGGAGGGGCAGCGCGTTCTCGCCACGGGCAACGGCAGCTGCTGAGCTTGAGCAGGAGGCGGAGAGCGACGACATAGAGCGTCGATCTCTTAGCTTCCTGTTCATAGCACTGAGTAAATTCGCAGAGATGCATGTGCTGGCCTGCTCGCTGAAGGTGGACAAGAAGGACCGACTGCGGGTGGAGATGAGGGAAGATGGCGAAGAAGAGGAAGACATGGAGGAAGAGCAAGGCGAGGGCGAGGAAGAAGACGGGGCGAGCCCGTACCGAGCTTGAGCTGAGCTCAAGGTAAGTAGAGAAGGTGGAGGCGACCGAAGGCCAAGGTGAGGAGAGGCAACTCTCCTGACTGAAGCTGAGGAAGCTGAATGGAGGAGGAGTAGGTGGCGACCGAAGGCCAAGGTGAGGAGAGGCAACTCTCCTGACTGAGGCTGAGGAAGCTGAATGGAGGTAGAGTAGGTGGTGACCGAAGGCCAAGGTGAGGAGAGGCAACTCTCCTGACTGAGGCTGAGGAAGCCAAGAGAAGACAGCAAAAGTAGAAAGTAGAAAGACGCCTCAGAAGCAGGGTTCGCATTGTAGGCCGTGTACTCCCAGTGCTCGAGCGCCTCTTTAGACTAGGATCAAATTGCATAAGCCCACAACGAGGCCGAGCAACATTCTAGCATTCTAATAAACTCACATAATAATAATAATAATAATAATAGGGTTTAGGGTTTAGGGTTTAGGGTTTAGGGTTTAGGGTTTGGCAGGTTCCTTATTTCCTGGCAGGTTCCTTATTTCCTGGCAGGTTCCTTATTTCCTGGCAGGTTCCTTATTTCCTGGCAGGTTCCTTATTTCCTGGCAGGTTCCTTATTTCCTGGCAGGTTCCTTATTTCCTGGCAGGTTCCTTATTTCCTGGCAGGTTCCTTATTTCCTGGCAGGTTCCTTATTTCCTGGCAGGTTCCTTATTTCCTGGCAGGTTCCTTATTTCCTGGCAGGTTCCTTATTTCCTGGCAGGTTCCTTATTTCCTGGCAGGTTCCTTATTTCCTGGCAGGTTCCTTATTTCCTGGCAGGTTCCTTATTTCCTGGCAGGTTCCTTATTTCCTGGCAGGTTCCTTATTTCCTGGCAGGTTCCTTATTTCCTGGCAGGTTCCTTATTTCCTGGCAGGTTCCTTATTTCCTGGCAGGTTCC